ATCTTTCACTGCGGTTTTCTTTGTCATTATACCTTTATTCTGTTCTACACTCCTGTATATTCTATTTTGTTTATTAAATGAGCACTGCAGAGTTTGGCGTCTGCCACTAGGAATAGCTGGGAAGAAGGGTAGTATATAAATTCTGTACTAATGCTGACAAACCTACTCCAAATCTACAGGCTGATGTTTGCCGTCTTTACACTACACTATACAGACCTGGGCATCTTCATTAAAAGAAAAAGTGGAAAAACAGGACATTTAAATGGACACTGTAGGCACTATAACCATTTCAGCTTAGTGAATTGGTCATAGTGCTTGGAGTCCCTGGCATTGTCCCTATATTCAGTATTAAACCATTTTCAAGCAGTTTGCCTTTGAAATATGGTTCCAGGATTGCCCTAGTCCTGCACCCACTGGAGGTGTGGCTAAGGTAGCAACGGTATTAAAAACATTTGAAAACTCTGCTATAATATTTCATTTTTATTTACTTTTATTTAATACATTCAAACTTTTTTCTTTTTTTTTTCTTTTCTAATCCAGACATCGTGGTTTTTCTTATGAGAGGGGTCGAGCCAGCCTATCAAAATAGAGTCCCTCAAGGTGAAAGTTGACTTTCTGAAGGTGCCTTTTGGCCTGAAGAAGCCAGTGCTGAAGGAAGCAGCAGCTGTTTTGGCTTCAGTTCCTGGGTCTGGGAAACCAAAATCTATAACCGTGGATCGCCACAAAGGCCGTTATTCTGAAAACATGGACAACGAGTCCCAGTACTCGGGCTATTCCTATAAATCAGGGCACTCAAGGAGCTCCCGTAAACACAGGTATGACCCGTTACAGGGACCTTAAAAAAAGAAATAATTAAAAAAATAATAATTGTTGTAGCCTAAAGATTCCACACCAGTTACTGCAACTTTTTTTGCTGAGATCTTATACGGCATAAGCCATAATAAAAAAATCTTTGATCATATGGAATTGATGCATTTCTATTGTGTAGAACGAAGAGGGGAACAGAATTTTTGTTGTAATACTTTACCAAACGGCGTTGTTGATGTTTTGATTTTTAAATTTTTTTTTTTTTTTTTTTTTCAAGAATACACCAAGTCAGCACAGGCCACAGAACTGTGGAAGTACCTCTCGTGTATTTTTATATAGTATGTAAGCTTTATACATGCACACACTATTTCAGTTCTTGGATAGGCAAAGAAGAGCATTGTTTTCCCCTTGATTGCATTGAGTGTTGCAGGGTTGGAAGTGGTTTTTGAACTGTTCTTTTCAACATTATAAAAAGGGTAGTTCTTTCCACTATAAAGGGACACACACCCACTTAAGTGGTAATGGTTCCAGTAGAGCCCTGGTGCCAATCATCTGTTAAATGTTTGAAAACTTACTTGAGGCGCAGGTAAATTAAACCATGTTAAAACAGTTTATCATAATGAGGGACTTTTTTCACCATAACAAATTCAGAGGATTGGAGTGCGTGGTGTGTGTTTGTTTTTTTTTTTTTTTGTTTTTTTTTTTTAAATGGCCAAGGTATACATCTGACTTGTTTTTTAATTAAATTGGTGAGCAGTTGACGTTGCCAAGTCCAGTTCTTAATCTGGAGCTAATAAAATGTTGATCGGATGCCTTCTTAGTGCATTTTAGTAATGGAGTTTTAAAAATTTTTTTGCTACATCATTGCAGAGATAGGAGAGAACGGCATCGCTCCAAAAGCAGAGAAGGAAGTCGTGCAGATAAGTCTGTAACTATACAAGCCCCCGGAGAACCCTTATTGGATAATGAGTCCACAAGAGGCGAAGAAAGGGTAATGCTTTTTATTTTTAATTTTTTTTAATGCAATGTAGTTTCAGCTGAGTATTTCTTACAGGTATTAGTGTGTTTTGACTTGCTAGCTAATTGGAAATTCTGTTTTGGGAAAATATTAGATGGGTTGCATATTTTCTTTTGAAATGTAATTGAATGCATAACTACATGCCCCACTCAAATCTTCGATCTGATTTTTTTTTTTTTTTTCAATGAAAATTAATAAAATATGTTGTAGAGCATAATTTAAACTGTGCCTTTTGTCTCACTTTGAATGACAATGTTGTGGTTTTGATGTATCAAGCTTGGATCCACTTTTTGATCCATTTTTGATCAATTTTTTTGTATGTTCTGGCTTTTAACTTCAGAACATACAAAATTAGTCCCTGCGGCCAAACTCTCACTACTCCTGGGCGACAGCAATGATTCTAGTATGCATTAGCCCCAATACATGCAATAAAAAAAAAAAAATTACTTGTGCACGCTCAAATAACTGGAGGTATTTTTAGTATCACTGCAATGTCTATTCAAATATGAGCCTGTGGCAGGTGAGCTTACACTTTAGTGGCCAAGAGCGTAATAGTAAAAATGTAAATGTGCATAGGGATTTGGGATAGTGAGCAAGCAAACGTTTGGGGCACGGGGGGTTATTGTTGCCATCAGAACTCTGTAACTATCAACATGGCATCAGCGTTCCCCTATATTTTTATTTAATTGTTTTTAGTTTCTTGACCATTTTAGTGACAATTCCTGAGCAGGGTCAGATTTCTGTTTAGCGGAAGTTTCCTCCACTAGAAAATGAAATGATCAACTCTCCGCTACTTCCTGACACCATAGGTATAAGGGAAGATTTATCAATGTGTTCTTAACTTTCTTTGTTTAGTTTTTTTTACTTCTGATATGTTTGTATTTGGTAAATTGTTCTTAACTGAACTGATATACGTGACAAAAAACTTAATATATCCATTGTTTCTAAAAAAAATAACAATAATAAAAAAAATTACATAATGTTTTCATCTATTGCTTCTTTTGCACCCAAATGAAAAAAATTTACTGGGCCACCCAACAAAAAAAAACTATAAAAGAAAAAGTGCAATTTTATCTGCAACACTTTGGTATCTCTTTCCCCCCACCCCTCCATAGTATTTACTACCATGATGACCGTGTAGTGGTTACATACACAGCCCTCTCTTTCTGGACAGTTTTTAAAAATGTTTTCTCGTTTGACATGGAAATCAAATTCCTGTCGTGAGGTGTGTGAATGTATATCTCTGTCAGTCCCCAACAAATAGTGGTTAAAAACACTCTTGAGCTATGTATGTGTGTATATGTATTTGAAAGCTCAAGAGTGTTTTTAACCACTTTTTGCTGGGACTGCTGTTTAAACCTGAAGCGATCGAGGATGAGCCTCGAGCGTGCAGACTAGGTGATGATCTGCAATGCACTCGAGGCTCGTCTTCAGCTAAGACATTAACCATGCCATATCTGAATGCTTGCCAGGTCTTGTGGGTAATTATTTTCCATGGGTGTCTGCAGAGGTAATTAACAAGAAAACGTATTGATTCCTGCGCCATTTGTCTGACTGTCACTGCCGAGGTGCAACATTAACTAGCAGAGCTACCCAGTCGGGTGTGTAAATGAGATGTGCCCTTGGACTGAAGCCAGAACGCATATGTGAGCTCGGTCTGGGTTCAGCATTCGGAATGCTGTAGACAGAATAATTGTTCCTGTATTTTAATTGGTTCCTGGTGATGTCATTGCTGCTGAGCCATGTCAAGGACAGGAGGTGAATCTTCATTGAAAACCCAAGTAGCGGGAGGAAATATGGGCACTTAGTGAGCTGTTTGATTAGAATGCTCTTTATTATGCTGGACATAAAATGTGCAAGGATGCAACTGAGTGAGCCTCGGGCGAATATTTTTTTTTTTCTTAATTTTTTTGGTTTCCTTTATTATGTGAGAAGTGAATTTTATTGTTTTTTTGTTTTGTTTTGTTTTTTTGTAAAAAAATTTTTTTTATATAGTAATGCAAATAAAAACACTTTTTTTTTTTTAATTCTAACCATAGATTCTTAGTAGTAGTTAAATTTTATTTTAATTTTACAGGATATGAATTTTAAACTTTTAAAATTATTTCTTATATGATTTATAGTTTAAAAACAGTTATTTATATTTTTTTTGTATAAACTTTTCAAAATTAATGAAAATATTTTTTATAAGCTAAAAATTTATATATATATATATATATATATATATATATATATATATATATATATATATATATATATATATATATAAAAAAAAATTTTTAGTTTATAAAAAATATTTTCATTAATTTTGAAAAGTTTATACAAAAAAATATGAAATTGAGCCCAAGAAATATTTACATTTAGAATTATTTACATCTATATTAATACAGTGAATGACATTTGTTACAAAGTAGTGTAGAATTTTCGTGTAATATATTTTTAATTGTTTTGATTGCCATGAAATTGTTAACCGCTTTCCATTAAAGGATTGGGAGAGTGGTATAATGTTTTTTTTATATCTACCCTGTCTTTTGGTGGATTTCAGGATGATAACTGGGGAGAAACAACCACAGTCGTCACTGGTACATCTGAGCACAGCATCTCTCATGATGACATCACACGCATTACAAAAGACATGGAAGACAGCGCCAAGCTGGACTGCTCTCGGCACCTTGGGGTCATTATCGGTGGGGCACTGGCTCTCCTCTCCTTCCTGACACCGATTGCCTTTATGTTGCTGCCTCAAATAATGTGGCCAGATCTGGAATCTTGTGGGACAGCCTGTGAGGGTCTTTTTATCTCTGTGGCCTTCAAACTTCTCATCCTCCTTTTGGGCAGCTGGGCACTGTTTTTCCGCAGGCCAAAAGCCTTTTTCCCACGGGTGTTTGTTTTCCGAGCACTGCTCATGGTGCTGATATTTTTGCTGGTCGTATCTTACTGGCTTTTTTATGGGGTCCGCATCCTCCACACTCGGGAACGGAACTACCAGGGAATTGTGCAGTATGCAGTATCATTAGTAGACGCTCTGCTTTTTGTCCACTACTTGGCCGTGGTGCTGCTGGAATTGAGGCAGCTTCAACCTCAGTTCACCATCAAGGTAGTGAGGTCAACAGATGGGGCCAGCAGATTCTACAACATTGGCCACCTAAGGTAAGAAAAGCTGTGGCATGTGAACCTTGTTGCGTTTAAATTTTTGGCTCATATGGCTCTGGAAGACAATGTATGTATATACCGTTCTGATCTCAAACATGTACAGTTGAAAGCAAATGTTTGACTCCGAATATACAATAATCGTTTTGTTTGAATTGTGACGGAAAGCAGAATCCTTGAGTTATATGTGGTTTAGAAAATATTGTGTCTTGTGTGTATCAATATATTTGGAAATCTGCAGTGTAGAGCATATCAAAGAATAAAATCTGACTTATTGATCTGGAACATGAATCCTATGGTGTGGGAGCAGAACTGGGTCATTCACATACATACGTTACTTTGTATTTTTACGTCTATGAATATACATCTAGTAGCAATGCTTTAAGGATCACTATAGGGTCTGGAACACAAACGTATTCCTGACCCTATAGTGTTAACACCAATTACAGTGCTTCCCCATAGAATTGGCTGAGACTGACAAGGAGGCAGATCAGGGGCAGAGCCAGCATGATTCAAACACAGCCCTGGCCAATCAGCATCTCCTCATAGAGATTAATTGAATGAATGAATCTCTATGAGGAAAGTTCAGTGTCTGCATGCAGAGGGTGGAGATACTGAATGTTTGGATGCATTTTAGGCAGCCATGACCCAGGAAGGATCTCTAACAGCCATCTGAGGAGTGGCCAGTGAAGTTATCACTAGGCTGTAATGTAAACATTGCATTTTCTCTGAAAAGACCGTGTTTACAGCAAAAAGCCTGAAGGGAATGATTCTACTCACCATAACAAATTCAATAAGCTGTAGTTGTTCTGGTGACTATAGTGTCCCTTTGGGTCTCTGAGACACCCTGGTGGTTGCCAAGGATTCAAACCTCTGAAGTTGAAGATCCCTACTCTTTGCTACAAAATTAATCCTACAATTGATCTACCTCGGTTTATATCATGTAGTGTTTACGGTTCAGTATTGTAATATACATCCAAATATCCCTCATATGAACGGGGGATTTTAACCTTTACACCATATTCCACATATATAGTGTGTGTGTGTGTCTTCCATTAAAAAATAAAAAGGGTAATTCTTTACCTTAGTTTTACCTCCCCTTCCCCCCACACACACACCATTTTTCATACCCTTTTAAATTGAGAGAGCTAGTTTTAAAATAAATTTGTTGGCATTCAATATCATATCTATAGGGGACACATAGTAATGTGCCTTGATTCTATTTGCTTTCTTGGGAGGTTACATTTTAAGTTTGTTGTGTGGAGGATAGCAGTGTAAAAAATGATCTTACGTTCTTACTGTCCACCACACATTGGATGGGCATTATATAGGATTTACCATTTCTGAACCTATATATTTTTATATGAATTCTAAAGAATGTATGCTGTTTGAATATGTCCTATCACTTTAGTCAAACCATACCTAGGTATTGCTAAAACGTCTGTATCACAGGAACCTTTGTGTGTGTCCTGTAAGATCCTTGGTTGACATTTGCCTGTGTGATGTTAGTAACTAGGTGGAGCTTATTAAAATTGAAGTTGGGAAATCGTTTCAGTTTCTATTTGTGCAATATCTGTAAAAAGTCTGAGTATACTTGCTGCAAACTTACATTATAGGACTTTAATAATATATACCCTGAAATATTAACATTTTCAGATATTACTTGGAAATTATGGAAAGTCCATCTATTAATGATGAGGTTCCACACAGTCAGTAGATATCCGTTATAGTCCTCAATTTTCATATTTTTTTGGGATAAGCTTTTCAGATTATTTAAATAACTGTAGAAGTTATTCTAAAAATATTATATATATATATCTATATCTATATTTTTTTTATATATATTTTGAAAACACATGTAATTTTTTTAAAAATTTATCCAAAAAAAATATAAAATTTGAGGTTATAAGGGAGTGAAAAGTTGGGGGAGAACCAAGAAAGTGCTCTTCAAAATGTATATGTTCTCAAAGTCAAAGTATGGAGGGGTAGATGAACACTCTTTGATATTCATGCAGGTTCAATGGACACTCCAGTCAGGTCGAAGATAACTTTTGCAGTGAGTTGAGACCAGGGAGTGGCTCATCCAGTCAGGAGTTTTCTGTTCTGTTCAGTGCAGCCTGGGGTCTATAACAGATGTGGTTAAACACTAGACATTAATGGCATAAGATGAGTGGAGTTGATTAATAATATGAAAACACAAGTACCGGTATATCAGCTTCATTTAATTTACTATTCCAAAATTTGTGAGTGATAACAGTTCTGGCTCCATTACAGTAAACTCCAAAGGAGCCTACTGAGGGAGGTGGAGATGTGTATAGTATGCCTAGGCTATACACATATCTGAGTGTACAGAGGAAAAAGTACAGCTTCCTCCTTCAAATTTGTGTCCTGGAGGGGGGAGGAAGACCGGTGTAGAGGACCACCTTAAATCATAAACTACGCATGTTGCATACGGTGCATTGCTTGGTCTGTCTTTTTTAAGCTTGCCATTTTATTGGTAAAGATCGCCAACTCTGACACAAGCAATTTATAAGTAAATGGTGGAAGCAAATAAAATAATGTTATAGTATAAAAACCAAGTACTAAAAATAAAAAATGCTTAAACAAATAAATATCTCCTAAAACAGCTGTTCGTTTAGAATAGCAGTTACTAGTTCCAGAGAGGAGTTATTGAGAATCTTCTAGATCATTGGTTCCCAAACCAGTCCTCCATTGCCCACCAACAATCCAGGATTTATGTATTTCCCTGTTTTATTCCAATGGAGATACTGCCAAAACCTGGACTATTGGTGGGTCTTGAACGGGTTTGGAAACCACTGACCTACTTCAATAGGAGCAAAACTAGCCCTGTAGCTTCGGCCAAGAAGCAAACCTCGAATGCAATCTGTACTATAGGCCCATGCACATCATCCTAGTACAAGATTTCCATCGTAATCTCAAGAGCCAGCTTTGTCACAACTGAACCAGGCTGTACGATTAAGTGCCCTTTAGTATATGGGTACGCAACGTATCCCGTGTTTTATTGCTCTTGACTTGTGTTTGGTCACTAGCTAAGCATCCGCAGATGCTACTTTATTGACATGCAAGTGTACTTGGACTTTTAACTGTTACTGAATATTTTACTGACATTGAAAAAGTGGCCATGATTTGCCATCAATTTTTCTTTTTCTCTTTTTGAAAACCTATCAAACTTTTTCTATCATAAGAACGTCTTTGGCATAAGAGCATCAACAAGGAAGTATTGATGCAAATCTTGATGTTTACAAGAAGTTGGACAACTTCATTAGAGCTCCCTATGTTTATTTTAAATTACAGAATTTGTGTAAAGAGTTATGATATTCTTTAGTCACTATCTCACCATTGGCAATTTGTGACCCAAGATCTGTTAAGCCGTGTCCTCCTTGCTTTAACCCCATGTTTTTGCTTTCCTCCTGTATTCTCCTTGCGTGTCTCCTTCCCCTTCCCAGAATTATTTTTTTCATATTTGTATTTTTTGTCTCTGTACCTCGCCCTACCCTTATCTGTTTTCCTCTCACAGTATTCAGCGAGTTGCCGTATGGATTTTGGAAAATTATTATCACGACTTCCCTGTCTACAACCCTGCTCTCCTGAACCTGCCAAAATCCATCCTGTCCAAGAAAATGTCTGGCTTCAAGGTCTACTCCCTTGGAGAGGGTGAGATACTGCTCTTACCATGAGCTGCCAAGACTTCTCCTGTCTGTTACCACGTTTGTCCTCTGTTCTTTCCTTTTAGTATCTGTCAAATACCCTGTGAATTGCCTCCTGTTTGGGTCTCCTTTGGTTGTCTATATCATCTACAGAAAATGATAAAATGATGGCCGGAGGAAGATTTTTAAAAATTTTTACAATGTCCTTTGGAGCATGTGTTTGAAAGAAATACCGACAATATTGAGCGTTTTATTACAATGTGCTAGCTGCCATCTTACTTTTTGGGAAAGTTTGTTTTGACAATCTAGTATATTTTGTATTATTTTACACATCTGCGATCTCTGAAGAATAAATCTATCACTAACACACAGACTCACACCATAATTGTCTCCGGATTTGATAGCAGTGCACGACGTCTACTTCTTCTTGACCTCAAGAACATCTACAAAGTATTAACAAAAATGAATCTTTTTATTTTTATTTATTTTTTTATTTTTTACTGCACAAAAAAAGAACCACAGGGAATGAATATCCCTTTTTTATGACTGTAACTGAAACCACCTCCTGAAATATATCTGCCCCTTTAGGGCAGTGTGAGTTGAATATCAAAATGCGTGTAGCTGGAACATCAAAGCTGTGCTCTAACTTGTATGAGGGCGTCTTAGGGATTCGCCATAGATTTGAAACACATACTCGGAAGCTCCAGGTTGCTTTTAAATTAGATATTTTATTTTAACCATTTCACCACTCATTTCTTCAAAATAGCAGAAACCACCCTCCAGTTTTCTTGTTAAATCCAATTTCTGAGAACTTCCTGACCGAGAAAGAGTCTACTGTGGGCTGCAGTGACGTAAAACTTTATAATGGAAACTTGAGGACCTATTTACTAAATGCCGAACGGCAACCAAACATAAACCGCATTCTGTACCGTGGTCACAATTCAGCTGTTTTTTCTTTTAACCATTACAGCTGTTCATTTTAAGCAGATATGCTTATTTCAACCAGATTTGCACTTCCATGTAGCTGCCATTTGTTGAAATGAGACCAGGGGTACACTACACCAACCAAATGTTCTCTAAGAGCAGCTTTTGATAGAGTACAAACTCTGACTCGGTTCTCACCGGGTAAACACCTCTAATGGCTGATAGGAAGACTTCCACTATGAGTGTGTTTAACCCTGCAATGGAAACTTTTTATAACTTTGCAGTTTTGTAGAAACTACAGATTGCAAGATTAACACTACAGGGCAACTGCACCCATTAAGATTAAGTGGTCTGTTTGTCTTTAACAGTCTCTGTAAAGATATCCCACACCCATATCCACCACCCAGTACCTACTCTTAAATTACCCTATATCTTACATTTTTAATAGCACGCAAATTCAGTTACAATTCCATTTGTTGTTCATTTGGGTTCAGTTGAACAATTCTGAAATGAATATCGGTGCACCAAATGACCTTTTTAAAAATAGCTTGAGTACAATTTAGTTAGCATTCTGTTGTTCTTGAGAAGAACAAATGCTGGAGAATTTTAAATCCTCATATCTTTTTAAAATGCCCTTGTTTACACAGATCAGGTCATCACAAAATCTGGTGGTTTTGAATTTAAAACAGAAATATAAAAAAATAGGATTCTACTCTTGTAATATGCTCTCCTCGGTGGCATAAACTGTGTCCAAAACAAATTAAGCAACCTGTTTCTGGGAGCAAAAGGTTCTGTCCTATTGTTACCATCTGTCTCATGATGGCTACCCATTTCACGCTAACACAATATAACAGAGACACTGCACACACACGAAAAATAAACTAGATACTTTTTCTTTTGTAACATTGTCCTTAAAAAGACACTCCAGGCACCAAAACAACTATACCTAAATGGAAAGAAACGTAACTTTCTCACGCCAATTTTGTGAATGGGGAGCTGACTGCTCTCAGCCAATCAGTAGTGCCACTGCCCGGCGGCACTCCCCACTTCCTGAATCTGAAATTGTTGAAGGCAGTTGCCACCTTGGGAGGGGGTGAGTTCACATTGCAGCTGGAAGCAACTTAGGGGTTAAACTGTTAGAACGATTAATCCCTTTGAGGTAAGAGTGCCTCTGGTGGCCTCCTATCACCATAGCAACTTCATTTAGATGAAGTTGTTTTGGTGCCTGGTGATATTTTCTACCACTATAGAATTACAAAGTGATTTTCAAATTTGAGGTCAAAGGAGCCAACCTGGAAGCATAGCAGAATTTATCGAATTCAACTATTTTGGCTTTAAATTTGAAATACACTTTAAATTCTTACTTTGGTAAATTTATTTTTTACAACATTCTGGCAACACTTGTGTTTTCTAACTGGTGAAACTAGAATTCAAAGTAGCCTTGCTTTAAAAAATATTTTTGATAATTAGGATTTTAGTGAGACCCTGCAACTTGTAAATTGGGGTCCATATATAGGTATTCATGGTAGCTGTAGTAGGACCGCAGGCATTTTTGTCTAAGCCATTAGTTTTTTTTTTTGTTTGTTTGTTTTTTTGGGGTGTGTGTGTGTGTGAGAGAGATTTGCTGGATGCAGTAACTTCCTTTTCTTTCATTCTGATGCTTTATTTGAACAGAACCACACCACTTAATTAACTGTGATCATGTGTTACTTTTAGAAAATACCACCAATAACTCTACTGGGCAGTCCCGAGCCGTCATAGCTGCTGCTGCCAGGAGGAGAGACAACAGTCACAACGAATACTATTACGAAGAAGCTGAACATGAGCGCAGAGTGCGGAAACGGAAAGCTAGGTATTAGTCGTGACATTGGAGGAAGGTGTATCTTTCCCATTAGGCTTTAGGGCTTCCTACTGACACTAAGTTCTATAGCCATTCTTATGCTTGTTGCAGTAAAAGAATTCCGAACCAATGGCAAGACATTGCAGGGAAACCTACAAGATTATTGTCCAACTGTTACAAAGTACATCTAAATTTGAGAGCTTTCATAATAAACCAGATAAATGTTAGGTCTACTGGCTTTATTAGTTTCCTGCTTTCGGCAGTGATTCATGCATATTCGATAAATCCCAACCGCAATAAAATGTAAAAGCAACAGCCTTGCGATGACCATCCATTTTTCATACAGTTGTAGAAATGGTAATCAAGGTGGGTTGTTGTAATTCTGTTCCAGCTGTTAATGCGGACTACGATATTTAATCTTTAATACTGATGGTGTCTCCAAACTCATGAGAACCAACTTGGTCACAAACCATTCTACATGACCTGCCCTACTCCCCTCTTTACCAGTCCCTCTCAATCAGACTTCTCTTATCTTCTTCTTTTTTGCCACATCCCCCTTCTCCTCCTTAAAGTACTGGGCCTCTCTGCCAGAGTGTAGACTATATGGTTTAATATTTGTTACTCATCCTAGGTAAATAAATATTAAGACGTAATAGAACAAGTGCACCCATGGGTCACTATAATTTATCGAAGAACATGCAGAAAACCCTTGTTTTGGGTTTACCATGCTTTGTCAATGCATAAACTCCATGAACTTGCACCACTCCAGCAGGTGATTAGCCATGACCAAAGTACAAAATCAGGCCAATACAAAAAGTCCTTAAACACAGACCCACTACTTGCCCATTTTTCATATTGTGTGCGTGTTTGTATCTCGCCTGTGTCTACGTATATGGCCTAATAAGGTGGCCGCCACTATGAAATTAAGTGCTGATGGATCACCTCCCATTTCCTGGGTACAGCGTATGGAAGTCAAACTAAGTGGATGACAGCCCCTTTCACGTTATCTTCTGCTACAGGATCATAGTAGTCCTAATGAAATCCATATTTTGACACTTAAAAAATAAATAAAAAAAATGTTATTACCCCATAGCCTTCTTGGCTGCTGCATCGTGGAGAATAGATGCTTATCTCTGAAAACATTTGGTATTTTAGTTTCTCTATGGTCCATCTGTATTTATTAATAAGTAAAAATTCACGGATTCGTTTTAAGTAAAATTTCTGATTTTAATAAATTACCTTCTTCCCTTTCCTGTCTCTTTAACTTTGTGTTGAAGGCTATCCCATTTACACTGCATTCTTTGGGATTACCATGCCTGTGTTGGCCTGGAGGGTAAACTGTCATCGGGTAACTATCAGGGGTAATCTGAGCAACGAAGTGTCATTCTCTATTTAAATAGCGGATCAAATACATGAGGAAGTGAAAATTTACTTCAGTAGTCTCAGAACAGCTGGGTAGTTGAAATTAAAACCATAAATGTTATTTAAAAAAATATTTATATATAACCAAACAAATCCCCATTAGTATTTTTTTCCCCCCTCTTTCTTTAATATTTTTTTTTTTTCTTTACTCTTCTAGTGGGGGGTACGGTATATCACATTTTTAACCAAAACAGTATCTCCACTGTAGGGAAAGTTTTCCCGCCAGAATTCTAGAGAGTGGTATATCGCAGCTCAATAAAGATAGTGGTAGGTTCCCCCGCTCACTCTAGTTATGTAATCTGATGCAATCCGGCATGCTCACTAGCGTGTTTAATCTGTTTTTTGGAAGAGAACTTTTGCCTTGGGTAAAAGTTCACTATTTTTGTACTGTAATTATTTCTAAATAATTAGGTTGGTTTCCCCTATAAAAGTTATTAGAAACCTCTTTGTTTGACTGATATCACATCTTGCAATTGGCTTTTCTCTTTTTTGTAATTTTTATTTCATTTTGTGATGATCGTTTCTTCTCAGATGAGATTTATAACAATTAACTTGTCTTTTTTTTTGTTATAGGTTGGTTGTGGCTGTGGAAGAAGCCTTCACACATATTAAACGGCTTCAGGAAGAAGACCAGAAGAATCCCCGTGAGATTATGGACCCCAGAGAGGCTGCTCAAGCAATCTTCGCTTCCATGGCTAGGGCCATGCAGAAATACCTCCGTACCACGAAACAGCAGCCATACCACTCCATGGAGAGCATTCTCCAACATCTAGAGTTCTGTATCACCCATGATATGACACCAAAGGTTAGCTGAGAACACCTTCTCTTATTTTTTGAGTTTCTAAGCATATAGCACTGCAAACTCTAACATTTATTAATCAATCCATGCAGCTATGTGCCTAAGATATCAGTGCAAGAATGAAGGCCAACATTCGTGTAATCCTTCCATTCTGTAGATGCTAGCCTGTAGCAGGAAGTATTATTACAACCTCTTTTTTTTAAAACCTTGAACTGCTAGACCAAAACACATTCAACAATACCCTGCTCCATGACCAGTGTGTATTGAGGGGGTTGAGATTCTACTTACGTCTCTAGATATTCTTCTTCAAGGAGCATGCATCACTTTGAGACAATGGTTTTGAATAAGACCTTTGCTTTATTTTGCAGGCTAAAGAAGCAGGTTAAAAAAAAAAAATAGGATTTTTTTTTTTCTCCATATTTACCTGCTGATCTTGTGCTTTCCAATCAGTGTGCTATCCCTAGGAATGCCAGAAATGTGTAACGGGCATGCTTAACAGATTTACACGTGTGAAGATCTCCTCTCCACACACAGGCTGCCTATTTCTGAATTCACAGTGTGCAGGCTGGCCATGCAGCTACAACTCATACTATCCACCAAAACTCAAAGTATCTATTTAGCTTTCAACTCAATGTTTAGTGAAAAACTCTGCATGCGTTCGAGCGATACCTCACCTTTTGCAGTGACAAGGCAGTGTATAAGAATTCCGTAGGTTCCCCACACCTGTTTACATTGCAAGTTTCACTTATATACTAGGCCCCATTGCTTTCCTTTTTTTTTTTTTTGTGTACATTGAAGTTGAAATTCACTGTTTACGTTGATGACTGCATCTGAAATAGTAGCACTAATGTTATTTATCCACTGTGTATTGCTACATATATCTTTCTTATTACCCATGGATAAAATAAGACATAAGGGCCCTCTAGGTCACCGGCATCCACAAATATTGCTTTTAATCTTTTCTACCTGGCCTACAAAAACATTCCCAAAGAAGTGTGAAGCTTATGTGAGTTAACCTTCCTAAACCGTGGTTGTAATACGATCTTCCCTTTTTGAAGCATGCAAAAAGACGACTGTCGCCATCTAGTGTTCACTATCCTAAAGCACTGTGTTTTTTTTGTTTTGTTTTTTTTGGCTCGAAAATTGCCTGGCAGCTCCCGAGCTTATTAGTCTCTCGACTCCAGACTCTGCTCTGCCATGCACACGCCTGCTTCATAAAACATTGATGCATTCATACATATTTGATTATTGTCTCTATGCAGTCTCGGGCACATCTGTTCTACACATGACAATCACACCCTAAAGCTTTTAATGAATCACACCGGAAGGCACGGAGACCTTTAAATTTGGAGATTATAAACACTTAACTCTAATTTCAATGGCGGCAATTATGGCGGATTTCATTGTTCATTTTCTTTTCATGATTTTGTTATGAGCTCCTGCAACCAATCATCCCAGGCTCATGTAGAAAACATGGTTAATCTTGGTTTGCACCCTAAACAGCCTGCGGTTCATATAATGTCGGCTTTAACTGTTCTAAAGGGGTTAAATCATTGGCTTAACCATTTAACTACTCCACTATTTGACATTGTTTCTTTAGCGGGCTTAATATAGATTGATGTAAAATTATGCAGTAGAGCTTATTTTAGTTATGCAGTGGGATTATTTCAACGCATTTTTGCTTAAAATGGCAAATTAATAAATTACTGTTTAGGTTTGAGTCATGGAAGCACCTTCAATGCCAAAAATGTGTGAGTTGGTTTTATGATTTTTTTTGAATTTTTTTTTTTTATAACTCAACTGTTATTTGAGAGACCAGGGGCGGACTGACCACCAGCAGGGCCATCAGTCAGCGGGTGATCATGGTCCCCCCCTTTTGGTACAAGGTATTTTTTGGCCCCCTATTTCTCTTCTCCCCCTTCTTTCTGATGCTTTCACACAGATATGTGTACACTGCCCTGCACAGAGAATGGCTGTGTAAGAACCACGCAGCCCAGACTCCCACACCCGCAGAGCCCCAAAAATGGCCAGATTTACTTTTAAGGGGTTATTCCAACCATAAACAGTGGTTTAATAAACACTGTTTTTAGATGGAGTAACCCTTGCTGGTGTGCCTCCCCAGCAATTAAAATAAAGAAATAAAGCAAATCTAATTACACACTGCCACTGATTTTGCTGATGAAATCACAAGTAGCGTCCCCACATGTACAACCATACAAGTAGCCACATGAATTTGGAGTCAACTTGTGGGGTTTGGTGTGTGGGGATGCTGCTAGTGATGTTGTGTTCCTGTATGTCAAAGTGCTGTGAATTAATCGTTTCTCTTGTTTTACCTATTGTACAGCGCTGCAGAATATGTTGGCGCTATGTAAGTGATTGTAATAATTGTGTGTGTGTGTGTGTGTAAGTAGTGTGCAGTATTGCAATGGAGGGTATGCTGTTTGTGATGTGTATGTGTAGGGAGGTTGCATGTGGTTTTGTATGTGTGGTGATGCTGCTTGTAGGATTGTGTCTATACAGTGAGGCTCCTTGTGGGTTTTTGTGTGAGTGGCGCTATTTGCAATGCAGTATGTGAGTGGAGAGGGCTGGTTGTGTTGCAGTGTGTGTGGGATACAATCTGTAGTAGGCATCTGGTGGTTACTGGGGCTATAGTGTGTGCGTGTTTGGATAATAGAGGCTCTACTGTGTATAGGTAAGATAGATGCTGAAGTAGGTGCAGGAAGCACGGAGATTGAGGTGGGTGCGGGGGGGCTGAGGTGGGTGCGTGGCTGGACCGAGTATGAGGTGGGGCATAGAGGTTCTAGTGAGCACAGGAGGTGGAAATAGGGGCTATGGTAGTTGGAGGTGGCATAAGGGCTGTGGTGGGAGAATAGGGGCTTAGGTGGGGACATGGATAGGTAGATCCTGGGGTGGGTGTTGGGAGGAATGGTGGCTGAGGTGAGTGCGGAGGAGCTGTGGTGATTACAGGGTAGCTGAGGTTGGTGCAGGGAGACAGGGGGCTTAAGTGGGCAGGGAAGACAGTAGGCTGAGGTGGGTACAGGGGGAGATGTGGTGTATGTAGAATGAGCTGTGGTGGGTGCAGGTAGACAAGGGGCTGTGGTGGGCACAGGGAGGGACAAAGGGTGGGTACAGAGGGAAGCTGGGGGGAGAAGAGGTGGGTACAAATGGAGCTGTAGGGTGTGCAGGGGGAGATGTGGTGGGTGCAGAAAGACATGAGATGCTGAGGTGAGTGCAATGCGGTTGTAAAAAAAAAAAGAAAATCTAAGGAGCTTACCTGTGCTGTCTGCCAGGCTGCAGCAGCTCCTCATCTTCCGGGTGCTCTTCAGGTGAGGGCAGGAAATTGTCACTTCCTGGCCCCACTTCTTCCTCCTAACACACAGCACCGCACAGGGGCTGGAGACCTGGCTGCAAGAACTGAATGATCGCTGTCGGGTCTCCCAGAGAAAAGAGAAACGGGTGAATGGGGGGAGGGAGGCGAGAATACCTGCAGAGTGATATGTTGCATGGACCCTCACTGGAATATGTGATAAACAGTCACAACCTAAGTGCACACAGTGGAAAAATAAAAAGCAAGTCATCTAAACAAGTTCCCTTGTTACAGAGAATGCATTTCCACAAAGACTTCCTCTTGTCTTACAAATTGATAGTTATAACAAAACAGGGGGACATTCTGCTAAGGAAACAGAATAAAAAGCAAGATAGAATGTAACTGTATATAAAAAATGGTTAATACAGAATTCCAATTGGCCACTGATAATCATACAGAGCAGTCTAATGTCTCTGGAAGTGAAAGGGCTTTGGCGCACATGAGTGCAAACTCAAAGCTTGGCTTATGTCGAACACAATCGGTGGTTTACCCTAATGGCACCAGATCCTTGCCGAGAAACATAATGAACATCAATCAAGCATGTTTTCATATATGCAGCTGATAAAAAAAAATAAAAATAAATAATAATAAAAAAATAAAGCGAAACTTGCCTGCCTCGTTAATCACATCATGTAAATGATAAAGAATTTGGTTAGCTTTAGCGGGCAAGGCATCGTGTTTAATAAACCCTTGGACAGATGCATGCTTGGTAGAATTAAATAATTAGATTTTTCTAAAACCTGACGTAAATTCATGATTTTATTAGACACAGAGGAGAGTATTATGCTTTTCTCTTTCTTTACTTCGATTTAGCAGCAAAACAAATAAATTAATGGAAACCGATTTAAATATTGCGTCAACTGACATAAAAATTAGTGAGTCAGATTTCATAGTCGACTATAAGTACTGCAGACAACGTTCCGAAGTCCTCTTTCTTTGCAACCGAAAAAGGTTATAATCCAATGAAATAGTTATTAAAAAAAAAAGTATATAAGTTCATTGAAAAAAAAAACAATCGGGAAGGTTTCTTCTTATTCGGATTTTCTAACCAGAGACGTCCGGCACGGTGAAAAGAATTTAAATCCTTGAGTGAATAAGATTTAGGATTGGATAATACTCGCCTCCATGTCTAATAAAATCATGACTTTACATCATGTTTTAGCAAAATCATATAATTTTATTACAAGACACTGAGGCTCATATTATGCATGTTTATAGCTGAGAAACAGAGGCTGAAATGTGTTGCATAGATTTAAAATATTGTTTTAAAAGTCGATTTATTAAACCAATCGGCATATTTCAAAATATCTGGAATTTAACGCTTAGTTGATACCGGTCTCGTACCTCCTCCTCTTTTCTGAATAAGGAAAAGGTTGCTGATGTAACCTGGTTGAAACGTGGGAATTGCTTGAATGGTGTTCTTTGAGCTCTTTGACCGCTTTGTCTATAAATATGTCCTTTTGGTGAAAAAATTATAGAATGTGGAAGACACATCTGAAAAGTGTTAAGTATGTATTCTATGTGATAACCTTGCATTGTATTTAGAATCCAAGCATCGGAGCTTATGAAACCACGCTTGGAAAAACTGGGTGAGTCTGCCTCCCAGTGATATAATGGAATGCTTACCAAATTGACATAAATAGTTGGTTTGACCTCTCAAATCTCTTGCTTGCTATGAAAATCTCCCTGATGGAAAGAATGGAGCTTTGAATATAGGACCCTGAAATTCAGATTTTTGGTTGAAGGATCCCAGCCCCTATTAATTCTGTATGAAGAAACAATTTCGACCAGACAGAGCCTATTTCTGTTGGCTCTTTGAAAAACACGATTAGTAAAGGCACATTTTATATTAGACTGTGCTTTATCCAGGGCTGTAAAAGCACTGACAAAAGTACGGGGTTCTTTTATGAACCTGTCCCGAAATAAAAGGCCATTGGCTTCTTTACCAGCCTCAGAAGTGGCTAAATACCTTGGCTCAATCTTTAAAAGTATTGCCTTTCTATAGTGCCCCCACCCTCAGGGTCCCCCTCCCACCCGGCTCTGGGGAGAGGAAAGGGGTAAAAAAACTTACCTTTTTCCAGTGCCGGGCGGGGAGCTCTCCTCCTCATCTCCTCCCATTCGGCTGAATGCCACGCGCCGCAAGAGATACGCGCATTCAGCCGGTCGCATAGGAAAGCATTTACAATGCTTTCCTATGGATGCTTGCGTGCTCTCACTGTGATTTTCACAGTGAGAAGCACGCAAGCGCCTCTAGCGGCTGTCAGTGAGACAGCCGCTACAGGAATTGGAGGAAGGATTAACCCATTTGTAAACATAGCAGTTTCTCTGAAACTATGTTTATAAAAAAAAAAAAAAAGGGGGTTAACCCTAGCTGAACCTGGCACCCAGACCACTTCATTAAGCTGAAATGGTCTGGGTGCCTAGAGTGGTCCTTTAATAAATGGGCCAGAAATATTCAGGTGTTTTGTATTTGCAGGCTTTTAAGGCTGCCTCTACACCTTTTTTCTGACTCCAATCTTGTTTCGAAAGAAACTGAACCACCTTAGGATCCACCTCAGGTGTTTGGCAGACTTTGGATGGCACAGTGGGTCTAGGGCATTCCATCCTCAAATTATTTCTAGCCTGTTAGTCCAGTAGGCAACAGACTCTATGGTGTTAATATCTGGCTATGTGATCCATTGGAAACCATTATCCTGATCTGGGATGGCGAAGTTCAGTCAAGGTGTCAACACTTTTCTGAAATGGAACTAGAAGGTGGTGGTTTTACTGTATGATGTGACTGAGACGGAGGGAACCTTCTCCACTGTACTGTTGTCAGAGTCTGTACCATTCTCAATTTTTACCTTTACATGTTTCCATGCCTCGTAGTTTCTGCCTGACAGACTCTTGTGCTTTTTATTTGAAACTCCGTCTGGGATGAGATGAGATTCGTCCATTTTCTTTCTGGAGGTTACAGCATTGATTTGCTTTGTGTGTGTTTTTTTTTTTTTACCCGTTTAGCAATTCTATTATATTTTGAATGACATTCTGATCCAGAAGTTGGTTATTTAGGGGTTAAAATAGGCTCTTTAGCTGAGCCTGAATAATGGCTTGAGTTAAAATTTTAGACAAGCTTGATGACATGATGTACACAGGCAATATGATGGCCTGATGGACCGATTTATTCATAGCCTGATCAATATTGTGGGTAGTAGAATCAGATTTGGCTGTTGGTAATTCATCTTCTTGTGAAGATGATGAAATATCGACCTCTCCAGCTTTAACAGAGAGATATGAGCCTGAGGAAGTATTATTACTCATGTTGTAGGTTATTGGATAAAATTAAATAAAAATTGGATATTGGTAAAAATAGTGAATATTCAATTTTTTTTTCTGACAGAAAATGTCTAAAATATTTATTTTACTCTTATATTTATAAAGAATATAATGAGTTTAAGAAAATACAAACCTTTACCTCAACTCAAATCTCACAGGACGTTGTGGGGCAGAGTAACAGACCCTTTTTTGCGTGCTCAACTGTCAGAAGGCTCCGAGCACAAGTAACAAAAGGATTTTTTTTTTTTCTCAAACACCCAAATTCATGAGTTTATGCTGATGGTGAGGTGAAGCCTCAAATGGTGTCCTGAAACACCCTCCTCTGGGCCAATTTTATAGTTTGCCCAGAGTTCCATGAAATACTGATATAAATTATACCTCCAGGAATATAGTTTGTGACAGTGCCCTTTAGTACTCCATATTTGAAGTAATTTATACTGCAATGGGTGCGGCATTTAATGCATTGGGGAGTAAGAGTTAACACAGCATGGCTTAGGCTTAATACAATAGGTTGAGCATTTAAAAACATATGTTTATAATAATACTCTGAATTAATTTAAAGATCTGGTGTCAGTGTGATATATAGGACACTTTTCATATACGAGGTTGATTTTAGAGCTGTTTGTAGGAGGGATTTCAGTCAGTGTGTTAAAGTTATAACATTTATCCTTTGCCTTAAAGTGACACTGCACAAATAGGCAAAACATTAAAATCACTATTTAGTAGATATACCTCCTATGAAAACATGCATGCACTTTAGTATGCATTTTTCATGGGGTTTATATGTAAAATCAGCTTGCTATAGCTGCAGATTTCTTGTCTGCAGTCTTTGTAAGCCCTCCCCTTCTAACCCCGCCCAGACTTTCTGTGGCTGTCCAATCAGACTTCCCAAATGCAGCTCAATGCATTAATTTATCTATACTTGTTCTGGTGACTATAGTTGTCCTGGTGTCTTTGCAAGGCAGATGCTCTGGGCAATTGCTGCCTCTTGAGTTTAGCTCAACTGAGCTAACCAAACCAGGAAGTAACAGGACCAGTTGTCTGACAGCAATGGGTGTGTAACCAGGTTAATTTATAAAAGTGCCAGTTTCTATCGAAACCTGCACTTTTTGTAAATTGAAAAAAGGCGCACTCTTCAGACAAAGCATTTCAGCATTTTAAATTGCTCAGCAATCTGGAGCTTCCCTTTAAACCTCGGCTATTTTTTGCCATCACAGTCTGTGAGAGAGCAGCATTGCAATGAAGAAATGTATTTGGCTGAAGTAGCACACTCTCTGCATTGTAGGAACTACTTTGACATTCAAGTTCCCCCTAATCTGCTGATTGCAATGCAGCACTACTTGGTAAATGCTCGATAATCCTATTCCCTTTCATTAGTTAAACACATGTTTACTGCTGACCTCTAGCTATTCTTACATTGCACTCCTCTGGAATTTTATATCAATCTTTTTTGTGTATTTTCTTTTAAATTTATATTTAAAATCTGGTTTGTACCTGGTCAGGACAGAAGTGACATTCTTAGGAAATCAGACTTCAAAGGGAATAATTCTACATGTATTTCAAATTTAAGTAGCCAAATCGGAAGCATAGTTTTCACTTTGGTTACTTCAGCCTTAAATTTAAAATCTACTTTGAATTATGTTTGAATTACCCACAATTCTTGCTTTGGTGAATAGCCCTGACCATTGTCTCTTTTCTCTATGCTGACTGCCAAGTGCAAAGGACAGCGCTTATAACAATGAGTGCCAGGGAGCTAAGACAGAGGTACCCAGTTACAGGATAAAAAGTATCTCTACATTTAATTTTAAATTTCAAACATCACAAATATATAGTAACACAATATAAAATGCAAGGCAGCAGAACCTAAAGCTCGGATACCTCTCTAGCACCACTAAAAGAAGTAATAAATTCAAGGAAAAATAGTCGCGCCATGGACAAATTAATCTTTATTAATATGTAGAACGTGTATAGGGTTGTGCTGAAAAATAACAAACACATTCTCTTTAAATCAGTTTTTCAATGTAAAAACCAGCGAATAGTGATTGGGTAGGTCAATATTTTCAAATAATGCAGAGTGTGTGTGTCTCAATCGCAATAAATATGTTCTCCACTAGGTGTTTTTTTTTTTCCCCCCAGAGATTATAGCATGTACAGTAAAATAATGCAACAAAATTAGTGTGTTATATAATCACCACCAGATGGCAGTGTGTCACCTGGGTATATAAAGCTTTAAATGTTCTATTGCTACTCTTAGAAATTTTGACGGTATACTTTGTCTTGATGGTAGTATGTGCTATTGTTGCGCTGGGTTCCTCTTGGACCTTGTTTTTCCCAGGAAGCTTCAAACGATAAAATGTGGGATATAATCTAATTCTGTCCTAGGTAAAATTCAGCAATGAATAAAGTGCAGATTTAACACTCAGGTGTAGTAAAGTTAATCACTCTTAGCTATAGCGGTATCGACATTGGCGATTTTATAGACCCCATCCATACATTGGCAGCAAGTTGCACTCCATGATGTAGTATGCAGCAACAGAGGAGGAAACAAAACCGTAAAAAACTCTTTCTACAAGTTGGACCTGAGCTGACAGGCCTTTGGTCATCTGTCATTTGTACAAGGCTTGGACAGGTGCCGATGTCTACAATAATACCATTTTAGTATACTTGATGTAAAACTTTAAATAGACCTAAAATTTGCGAGAATAAAATACATAATGGATTGGCTTTATAAAAGTGCTATTAACGGATACTTTGGTGGTTTTATGGCGGTTTTATAGGACAAGGTCCTGTCTTTATTTGAGAAGTTATTTTTCACATTTTAAGGTTTTTAGTATCTTAATTAGTTAGATATAGATCTAACACAACTACGGTGGGTATAGCTCGCTACTATAAGTAATCAATCCGTAGCAGCATGTATGTACTCAGAAGGCTAGGGGTTCACCTTTTCGTTTCTAGTGCGATCTATGGGCCTGTTGGCCACCTTCCACAGTAGCAGCGAATAGGAACTTACGAGACTAGCGAACCTGTTTAAATCATGCGGTATAGTTGCAACCTTACAGGATATTCTTGCTAGTCGTGGAAGGTATTTGTAGGGAGCAGTAGCATCTAGTACCTAGTTGTTCTTAAGTTTGAATACATTGTATTTAGCATATCTAATATGGTAAAAAAAAAAGTGCTTATTAGTACAACATACTAATATTCTATAAGCTCTTAAGACAACATACCAATCCTTGGCACTGTTTACCTCTCGGCCTCCCGCAACATCATGGAAAAGGCATGGCCTCGTGCATAGTTGGACCAATCCAATGCTAATCATAAAGGGGCAATGGGGACTTGAAGCTCATGTGCAGGAAATACAATTAAACCATTGAAGCACTACTTTTGGACGGGGCTTCTATGTCATGTGACAGACTTTTACTTGCTCAGTGCAGTGGATGCACTTGTAGTGGCTGTCCATATAACCACCACTAGAGGTAGATTTAACTTTGCAATTAAACCATTGCAGATAAAAAATTTTTTTTTTTTTTTTTTAAATTGCTTTGTTAAAACAACAGGACCACTTGATTGAAATGAAGTGGTCTAGGTGACGTTAATGGTCCTTTAAGAGACCCTGTCTTGATGGTAGGATTTTGGTGATGCAATTTAGGTAACATAAAATCACAGGAAACATGTATATTCTGATGACCATTTGTAAATTAGTCTGAATTAATGACTTTAGGTTTATGTTGAATGATTCTGATTTATATTTTGAATTTTCTTTTTTTTAAGTTGGTTATATTGAGCCGCACGCTATTTTTTCCTCTTTGTGTGTGAAGGGTTTGTGCATGTAATTGTTTATTTTCAATTATGGCACACTGAGGTATTACTTAAACTTGAAAAATAATTGTTTGAGTAACTCATTCTTCAGAAGGGAAGTGCTGTTCTGATGTAGAAATGTTTGGTATATTGATAAATACACTGGTTTTGTTCCTGGGAGTCTGAACTATGACCTTTCATGTCTAAGAAGATTGGGCTGGAGAGGACTTAGTGAGTACATGGTCGCTTGGTTTGTTGTCAAACACAATGGAAAAATATTGTGCATAGTGATCATTGCTTCTTCATTAAAGGGACACTTAATTTATCTATACTTGTTCTGGTGACTATAGTTGTCCTGGTGTCTATAGCATGTCCCTTCAGGCCTTTTTGGTGTAAACACAGATTTTTCAGAGAAAAGGCAGTGTTTACATTACAGCCTAAGAACTCCTCTAGTAGCCACTCCTCAGACGACCACTAGAGATGTTTCAAGTTTAACTTGAAAAAAACTTGGGTTAATGGGGAGTATGTGAGACACTTGCTGTACCATTAGAGTTTTTTTTTCTTGAATGCATTTCGGAAGGTTCAATGCCCATGTCTGCTGTCCTGGCCGCAATTGGGTCTAGGAGGCAGTTGCCCATGAATCCTTGGCAAGGGGTACATGTGTGGTTTGACAACTGGGAGGCGTTATGGGCAGAGTTCCAACTCTCTCTCTGTCCATTTAGACCAAATGCGTTCATACCTCTCAGGGGAACCAGCTATTCTATGTGAGATTTGCGGTTCAACTTTTCAATAACTAGTGCCATTTTGGGCTTTTAGGTCAATTTCCACAGGGTGGCTATGCAATTTTATTGCTGCAAGTGTGATGTGAATGGTGAGTGTCAATTTATATTTTGTAAGTGTTTTGGGTAGGATATGGAGTAGGTTTTATTTATATCTTTCAATTTATTCATTAATCTTAAAGCTCATGTCCACCTAGGATGACCAAAAGAGTGGGATCTGGTTAAAGAGGTTTGTTGCCAGAGACCGAATTTAGAGTCCAATTGCATAATGCATTTTATCATTTAGATGAATGATATTTACACACTCCAAATAACTCACTCACTATTTGTTTTTTTTCAACAGGCTTTTCTTGAGCGTTACTTAGGACCTGGGCCAACTATCCAGTATCACAAGGACCGCTGGCTAGCCAAGCAGTGGACTTTGGTTAGTGAGGAGCCAGTAACCAATGGTTTGAAAGATGGTGTTGTGTTCGTCCTAAAGCGTCAAGACTTCAGTTTGGTGGTCAGCACCAAGAAGATACCCTTTTTTAAGCTCTCTGAGGAATTTGTAGACCCCAAGTCTCACAAGTTTGTAATGAGGCTTCAATCTGAGACTTCTGTTTGAAGTCCAGGACTTTCGTAACAGATGGATAAAATATAAAGGAAAGGTGTTCTTACACGCTACAAACTGCAAAGAAACTTTCTTGGGTGCCTGTACATCTTTCCTTGGTGGATTTTCCTTGGTATCCACAGTTTGACTGCTCAGCAAAACCTCAACATGCCTCCCTGTTGTTGTGCACCATTCTCCAATTACAATATGATCCCACTCCGGAATTGTCCAACGATGGACCCAAACAAAAGTGCTAACTACTTTTTATTTGAAACAGTAATTTGAATGCAATCTTTCAGCTACCAGCATGCTCAATCAGTGTTTCAGGAGCCGTTTCCTACTGACAGTCTCCAGAATTTGAGAACAATCATGCACAAGACTTTGGCCAACTTGTGTTCCATTCTCTTATTGGATTATCTCTGCAATAATTCCTATTTGTTTCAATGTGTCAGCTCAGACTCGTCAAGTTATTGACTGCACCTACACTTTTGTAAACTGTTAGGGACCTGTTTAACACTCATTTTTGTCAACCGAGGCCACAAAGGATACAAGTATCTGGTGCCAAAATTCAAGGGCTATCCATCAATAATTTGTATATGAAAACTGAACTTTCCAATCTTCCTGGTGCTGGCCCTAGAGGTCCTCTCCTTTTACCTTGATTCTCCATATAAATTCTGTGCCGTGGCATGTTGACAGAGTGCTATAGCAGCTTCTCGAACTTCAGATGAAGTGGCTAATTCCAGGGAATGTACAGACACAAAAACCTTAACAAGAAAATGGGGATGTGGGGAGGAGGTGAAAGAAACTTGGGGTGGGAAATGTTTTCATTGTGGGATATCAGCAGTTTTGTATTTCCAGATTTTTTTTTTAATTTTTTGTTTTTTATTCCCTCAATAACCACTAACCTGTGGCGCTGTCATTTAAAAAAAGAAAAAAAGGATAATCTTTTATTTGTACAAATTGGTAACTTCAATTTCCCAGATATCTACAGACATGTATTAGTGAAGGCCCATTTTTTTAATGTTTTTTTTTTTTTTTTAAATGGTTTCTATTTCACAGACAATGCCTTGTCATGCTGGATCGAGCCTCATTTTACTTTTTTTATAGTCAACACAGACTTTATATTGTAAAACGAAGCCCGGGTTTTCTAGAGTTCGTATTGCATTCCTATGCAGTCGTATGTTATATATCGCCCTCCACTGGCCAGTTAATAATCTGATTGTTACATTCCATTCCATTGTCCCTCTCCATCAACCTTTAACTTTAAATGATGCACTAACAACTTATCTTCTGGTTTACAGTCTACAATACACAGGTCTGATTCTTTATATTGTTTTTATAAGGGACACTGACTTTTTATTTCCACTGACTTTTTTTAATTTTTTTTAATCTATGGTATACCAGACATCTCATCAAGATCTGAGGAACTTAAACCCTTCCATATAAAAAAAATAACTTATTTTCAGTCTAAATCTAAAGCAATATGTTGTTGTATAGTTAGTCCTGCAAGTTTTCATTAATTGGGATTGTATTTACAGTCCCTAATCGGACAGCTCTATTACCAACCTGTGAGGGAAGAGCGTTCTAGTCTGACTGGTTTGTTGTAATTGACTCCAGAAAAATCTAATTACAAAGCAACCACCCATGTCATCGTAGGACAGTTTGGCCTAAATAAGGTTTATATGGAAGGGTATATTTTCCGTTTAAAAGTTGCTCAAGCATATTTCTGTATCTCTGTTAGGATCAAACTTTTTTTATTTTTTATTTCAATTTTTTATCCTAAAGGACTTGTGACATTTCTAGCCTTTCACTACTGAAGACCATAAGATAATAAAGCTGTTTTTACATAAGGTGAAATATTGATTGACTGATGCAATTAAATAATTATTCAAAGAACAACCAACATGCTTTGCTAAGCTACGTGACTTGTATACAACTACGGTAAAACATATAAGCAGAGTAACTCCTTCCTCTCATTGAAGTGATTATACTGTATTGAGTCCCATGGCACGTTCCTCCTATTCAACATCAAACTGTCTCTAATATTTTAATGTTAAACAAGAGTAGCCGGCAGCACATCCCCCTCAATGCTGCTTGGACTAACAAAACACATTAACCTGAGCAGCAATGAACAACTGTGATTGGCTGATAGCCTTTTACAATGACAATGTACACCCCATTTTCATGAAGGGGTGTACATGGTCTGCAATAATCTCTAGGATGGTGGTGCGTATCCAAGTAAACATCCACATGAATGCCAAGACCCACGTTTCACAGCAGAACATTACTCAGAGGATAACACTGCCTCTGCTAGCCTGCCATCGTCCCATAGTGAATCCTGCTGCCATCTCTACCCCATGTAAACAATACATGCACCTGGCCATCCACCTGGTCTGAAAGTAAACGTGATTCATCAGACCAGGCGACATTCTTCCATTGCTACATGGTCTAGTTCTGATGTTCACGTCCCCATTGAAGGTGCTTTTGCTGGTCTACAGGGATGATTGTGGGCACTCTGACCGGTCTTCAGCTACGCAGCTCCATACACCGCAAACTGCAATAAACTGTGTGTTCTGACACCTTTCTATCATGGGCAGCTTTATTTTTTTCAGCAGTTTGAGGTACAGTAGCTCTTCTGTGTGATCAGATGGGCTAGACTTTGCTCCCCACTTGCATCAATGAGCCTTGGGTGTGCATGACCCTGAGGCCAGTTCACAGGTTTTCCTTCCTTTTACCACTTTTGGTAGGTACTAACCACTGCATACTGGGAACACCCCACAAAACTTGTTGATTTGGAGATGCTCTGACCTAGTCATCTAGCAATCACTTTTTTTTTTTTTTGTATTTTTGCTGTGCATACACCTGGTACATTCAGGCTTGAGGTACTTCAACGGCATTCCTTAAGCTTAATTTCACATAGTACAATAGGGTAAGAATTATGACATGCACATTTTTATTATAGTTAGGTAGGAGAGATAATCAGAGGAGAGACAAAGAGGTAAAACACATTAAATACACATTTAGTTTTCTGATTATGTAGTTTTGACATAGGTAGGTAAACAATTGTGAGTATGCTAAAACCGCTTAGGTCTATGGGCATAATGAACTGGGCATATCATTTGATTGAGCTTCGCTGCAGTGGTATCAAGAAATGTTAGAGGAGCGTGTCAGAGGCAATGGGCTAACCATTGTGGCTTGCACATCCGTGCTGTTCGGTACCAGGTGCCGCACTGTGTGAGAGAAGTCCCATGTCCTCAAAGTACAACTAATTCCGTGGGTTACCCAGCAGGCCCTCCATGTCTCAATGAGTGCACATTCCTACTATACTCTTGCAGGGCTTAAGTCCCAAGCTGGAGTGTGGATTGGCGCTGCGATGTCCCAATGAGGTGTTTTCCCAGCCCTGGGATTTGCAGTAGGTTAGGCACTGAGCTTGAGTAGTTCGGGTTCTTTACTCATTGGGTAGGGAGACGTGCCCCATGTAACAGTCGCTTGACACTTGTATATCTGGAGCTACCAATTTGGGCTTCTTGAGACCTTCAGCTCGGTTGAGTGGCACGTACCGGGATCTGAGGCTTGTAGTGGCTTAGCTTCTGGATGTGCTGGGGGGGCAAGCAGGCTTCCTGCCCTGCTCCGCCAGTGGGCCCATTCATCTGCTGTTGTCGGATTCTCCGGCTGGGGGTCGCCTTTTGTGGCTGCGCATCGTTGCTTTATGTTCCTCTGGAATTGCTGGAAAATTGCATCCAGTTTCCTCAGGGAGTCAGCTGTGGAGTCTTGCAGTGTCTTCCGTTCGAGGCCCTCACCTCGTAGCAGGGTGCTGGCATCTGCCATTTTGGATTCTCAGAATCGAGGTAGTGTAGCCCGGTTAGCATTGTTTGCTTTAGCACAGCATCTGAGTTGCTTTGAGGGAAACTGGGATGAACCCCGCCAGGCTGGGGGGGGGTGGGAGGAGGATGAAGTAGCCACGAGTCTAGACCCCAGCTCAAAGCATGAGATCACCGTCCGCTTCCCCACAGCTCCACTCCAGGTAGGCCACAGGAGGGTGCCCAGATTGCTGCCTGTCAGCTTTCCTGGGCTCCCCTGACCATAAGGACACACTTGGTTTTGTGTGGTAGCATTATTTTTGGGGTTTTAGCTTGATTTTCAGCTTATTAGTTGGGAGCTCTGGCTCACCACGTCTGGCTCGCTCTGAGGTCAGGCTCCGCCCTCTAGTCATCACTATTTATCCCTTTTCGGTCTCGGATATTTTCTTGCTTCCAATACATGAAATTCAAAAACTGACTGTTCACTTGCTGCCCAATATATCCCACCCCTTGACAGGTGCCATTGTGACAATATAATCGTTCACTTCACCTGTCAGTGGCTAATCCGTGTATATCCCTAGCTGGAGAAAATATATTCTAGTCCATTCTGTTTCATAAAACCGTGTCCAAAGTTTCTTCCTAGGCAGAATAATAGGATACCTATACTCCACATGGCAGTCTAATCAAATACTCTGCCTACAAAGCACCCATAGATACTCCAGTCCAGACCATTAATGACAAATTGTCTATAGGACAGCCCAGGTGGTAATACATGCAGGATAGGACGATAGATTGGTAAATGTATGCGCATTAACAATGTTATCCCTATTTCAGATTTTTCTTTTAAAAATACCTACCAAACTCTCCTTGTGCTGATCCAGTGAATGAATGTTGCTTCAGGATTACATTTGTGCAAGGGTTTGTTGATGACCTGACAAAAGATATGTTTTAATGCTGAGAGAACTACTAACGAATAGGAGAAAAATCTATCCTAAGAGTTTTGGAAAGTGTTACAGAAGTAGATAGAGCTTAACCCTAGAATACAAATATTGAGAACTAATGAGAATGGTAGCCCCCCTAAAAAGTAGACCACTCCTAGTATAGATCCCTAAACTGTCTATATTCCCCTCGTTGCTCCAAGACGGGACACCTCCCCCCCTCCCCCTAGTTAGTATTAGAGAAATTCAGGTGCCAAGTATACAGTGGTCGAAAGTGGAGAGCCGGCATACAGTTGTAAGGTAAGTGGATCAATATCCCAATCTCTACTTGTGCTAGCCAAACCACCCCCTGCTGCTTCGAGGCAGGCCTCCTATGCTAAAGACCTCAGAGTCTAATACATTTCATAGTCAAATCACCGTGAGTGAAACTTAGTGAAAATAAAACCAAAATACATGCATCGGCAGCCCGACACGCGTTTTGGCGGTAGCACCACCTTTTGTCAAGAGCTGAAGAGTATTCACTCGGGGTCAGCTTTTTACTGGTAGGTCAGCGCCGCCCAGAATGGGGATGATCCAATCGCAATTGCTAATTGAGTTCCCTCCTTTATTATTTAGACCTCTCGTCCATTGGCAATCTATCTCCAAGTCTAAATAGACTCTCTATCTGCTTACTCTCTGTCCTCCCTATATATTCAATGCAGGCTCAATCCTGCATGTGACACAAAAAACAGAAGGGCTGCGCCAAGAGGTAAGTATTAATAATAAAAGTAGTAATAGTAGTATATACAATAGTCCTAAGACAATATAATTAGTATAGCTTCACTAACTCAGTGGGACTAAAGTTATAATAAAATCACCAAAAAGATTAAATAAAAGCCAAAAACAAAGTCTCACACAGAGGTAAATGTCTATATGGAGTCCTGGATTTTGGGTGTAGTGTCCTCAATTGCTTAAGTTGATCAGCCTCTTTGCTCGTATGAAAAAAAAAAAAAAACTATGGAAAAAGCCAAATGTGCAATATGCACTGACAAGTGAAGATAAAATAAATTGATAAGTAAGTTCAACTCACATTTAAAAGAGCTATATCCAGCTCGGGTGTGAAGAGCTTACAGCGGTATAATCCCTGCTTAAAGGATGTGTGATAGGAGTCCTCCAGAGGGGTGATGTCCAACACTCAGGAGAGGAAAAAATAAAAGCCTACTAACAGTGCGCTCAGGAAAATAAAAAATGCAATAAACACAAGTGGAGTGCAGGCAAACTGCACTATGGTATCAGCGTGGGTGGTATAATCCCCACCTCAGGATATACTTGGAGTCACATGAAGATAAAAGCAGGTTAAAGTAGGCCAGGCAAAAAATTCCAAATTTAAAAATGTATAATTCAAAAGATGATTGGCACAATCTTGTAACCAAAAAACCTTTTATTAAGAAAATTAAACAATTAAAATAACCATAACGCGTTTCGCCAATAGGGCTTTTTCAAATGGGATAAAATTTCAAACCTGGCTATTCTGAGTGTGTATATTATATAGGGATCTAATTGCTTAAAATTGGCGGCAAAAATTAAACCACAGAGTTCTGCAGCCAATAGAATACAAGAATATACATAGTTAAATATGAAAGAAAGGCATACTGAAGGGATTCTGAGTGTAACTGATTTCAATACTAGTGAATTTTTTAAAAAGTGAAGCTTCTATGTCTAGTAATTGATTTTTTTTTTCTCCTTTATTTAAATTGTTTTTTTAAAATTTTATTTAAAACACAGAAATGCACAAACTATTTGCATTGCATCTTGGGAAATGTAGTCCTGCTATTATTGTTTTTTAACATAAAGAACACAAATAATTTGCTTTGCATCATGGGGGCTGTAGTCCTGCTATTAACATTTTTTTGAACACCTAAAGCAAAAGAACAGCTACTTTGATATTATTGATGTAGGGGAAGGACAAATAGAAATATGGGAACATTTTGCAAATGACACATCACTATTAAGGAGGATGATATGTATCAATAACGAAAAATCTAATAAGGTGGGGATCATACCACCCACGCTAGAGATTCAGTAGTCATTCTACGATCACCCTCTATACACTTTTCTATATCACGCTCAGGTTGCATGAGCACCTTTTATGTGTGGTATGTTTATTACCCCATATTGTATTCTATCTAGAGGTACTCCTTTTTTAGGGGAGGGCGGGGGCTTCCATTCTCATTAGTTCTCGATATTTTAATGCTATTTTTATTTATAATGATCTAATGTATTTCTTCAGTTATTACTTTGCATAATTTT